GACGAGGAGCGGCGAGCCCCTCAGACCGAGGTGCTCCCAAGAGCGGTTGGCTGCACAGCGGCCTCGTGGTGGCACGCAGCGCTGCTGTTCACCCAGTCGTGGTGGCCACGCTGGTGCCGCTGAATGCTCCGATTGCAGCCGCGCGTGGCGCTCGCGCTGCGACACTCACCAGTGGTGCTCCCAGTCGTGCCACCCGCGGTCGCCGTCATGACGCCACTGTCGATGTGTACTGGCAGCCCGTGGAGGCCAGAGCACTCTCAAGAAAGGCGACGCCGTCATGTCCTGTATCCCCCCCCCCACTCGGGGCGGGTGTGGCCTGCGGCCAGCGGAGCGTAGTCCATGAAGGAAATGGTCGTGTCTGCCGACGACGTGGTAGGCGCACCTGGATGCGCCGGTGCGGCTGCAGGTGGTGCTGCTAGGCTGCATCGAGTGGTGCTGCTAGTTCTGGCCGTGCTGGTTGCCGTGGTGCTGCTGGTGGTGGCACTGGTATCGCTGCGCGCCTTGCTGCTGACCCGGTCGTCTGCTGGCCCCGTCGTGCCGCTCAGCGGCGCACCCTTGAGTCACGTTGTGCTGCGCAGCGTCGCGCTGCCAGTGAACGTCGCGCTGGCTGGCGTTTCTGTGGCGGTGCCCGTCACGCTGCCCAGCGTACGCTGCACGGCAGCCCTGCCGCGCACGAGGAGTGCAAAGGCTGAGGCACGCGAGTGCGGGCGCCAGAACGAAGCCAGGTGTGCCTCAACGGGGCGCTGCCGTTCGCGTGAGCGGCGCATCCCACTGGACGACGATCTCGATGTTTCGCCGGCCTGCAGCCCGAAGCTGCTGTGAGCGATGCAGTCCTTCCGTGGCCGAAGCGTATGAAAGGGGCCCTGGGACACACAAATAAATAGACACAAATAACTGGATTCCCCATATCTTCTTGTATTTTCTGGGATTTGTCTTCCCCCCCGCTTCCCATATATATATTTTTCCATATTTTCCGGGGAATCGACCATTCATTGTGTCTGTGTTTTTCCCCTCCTGAAGCGTAGGCGCCCTGACCGAGCCGTCGGCGGACTGCCTGCAAATCGTGCGTCCATCCCTCCTCGCCGACGGGCCGAAGCCCAGCCTCCATTCGGGCGTGGCAGGCCAAGCGCCTGAAGCCTCCCGTTCTGGGCCGGCGTTCCATCCCGAGTCGCTTCTTGACGGCCCCGAGGCCCGGCAGGGGCCCCGAGGGGCCGAAAGCTCCGATTAAAAAACTCCGTCTCGATGCTTTCGTGGATGTCTGGGTGCCCGCGAGCGAAGGCCGGCGCAGCACGGGATGGCGGCGCATGGCGTCGCCGCCGCGCTCCTGGCGACGGATGGCGTGGCAGGGCGCGCGGAGGCCCGCGCGCCGGTCGTGGCCTGCGCCTGGGCGGTGCCGAGGGGGCATTCTGGACCTGGCGAGCCTCGTGCCCAGGCCTCCTCGCACTGCGAGGCCAAGTCACGGCGGGAGGTTTTTCGCTAGTTTCGGCCTTCGGGGGCCCTCGCCGGGCCCAGGGAGCGTCAAAACACGGGGGAGATCTCTGGGGGTCGACGCTGTGAATATATCACGACGTCGGGGGTCTGAGTGCGTCCCCGTCCAGGGCGGGCAGGTCTGGACCGGGATGGGTGTCTTCCGAAGCCCGGTCGTCCACGCGTTCCCAGGGCGCGCATCACACGGCGAAAGCTCGCACCAGCCGACCAGCTGCCGCGTCTGCAAAAAAGGGGGCAGCCCCGAGGAGGACACCTACAGGTAGGAGACCTGGTGGGCGAAGACGGCGGAGGCCAAAGCTCGGTCGCCTGGTGAAAGCAATGTCGCCACGAAGACTCGCGCCCGTGCCAGAGCCACGGCTGGGCACCAACGCCAGAGGTGCTCGCATCCGGCCTCACAGAGCCCACAGAGGCGGCAGGGGCCATAGCCGCTGTTGCTGCGCGCAGATGGAAGCGATAGCAAATGGCACCGAGGGCACGACGACCACGAACAAACGAACGAAAACAAAGACGTCCGAGCTTTAAACACAACCGATTGTGAGGAAGTATCAAGCGGGAGCGGTTGAAGTCGTATCTGGGATTTCGAGGGCAACGATTGGGACCGAACGCGTTTGAGCAAGGCTTTCGCTTTCAACAAAATACCTCCGTCACCTCCCCTTCCACATCCCCCTCCTCCTCCTCCTCCTCATCCTCATCCTCCTCTTCCTCCTACACCTCCACCCCCATCCGCCCCCCCTCCCCCTCATGTTCCTCTCCCCCTCCTCCCAGTCTTACGCCTCCCCTTATTACTCCTCCTCTTTCCCTTCCCGACATCCTCCTCCTCCCCCTCCTCCTTCAACGCGAAGGAGGAGGACGACGACGACGACGACGGCGACGGAGATAACGACGATAGAGACGGTAACGACGCCGACGCTGCCAGGCTCGCCGTCTCGGTGATGGGGATCGTCGCGTTGACCTTGGCCTCAGCGACAGCGGCGGAGAGGGCCACGACGGCCACGGCGAGCAGGCGCGCCATGGAGCGGGGGGGACCCTCTCGCTGCACCCCAAGGGGTCGGGTCCTCCTCTCCGCCGCGCCGCTTCTTCCCCGTTCTCCTCCTCCCCATCCTCCTCCCGCTTCTGCCCCTTCCTCCCCCCCCTTCTCCACCTTTTTCTCCAATCCCCATCAGCATCGCAATCACCATCACAACAATCATCGCATTACTCATGATGCAATGACCATCACCACCACCGCTATCATCATCATTATCAGAATCATCGTCATCATCATCAGCAGCAGCAGCACCAGCACCAGCATCATGAGCAGCACCATCATTATCAGCATCATCATCAGCAGCATCATCATAATCAGCATCAGCATCAGCATCAACATCAGCATCAGCATCATCATCATCAACATCAACAGCATCAGCGTCATCATCATTATCATCATCAGCATTCGTATCAGCATCATCATGATCAGCATCATCATCGAAATCATCATCAGCAGCAGCAGCAGCAACAAAATCGTCATGACCCTCGACTCTCGATCCTCGATCCTCGCCGTCAACATGATCAGCATCATCATCAGCAGCACCATCATCATCATCATCAGCAGCAACAACAACAGCAGCATGATCAGCATCATCAGCAACAGCAGCACAATCATCAGAATCGTCATCAGCATCACCATCATCATCCTCATCAGCATCATCATCAACCTCATGAATCATCATTTCCATCATCATCCTCACCATCATCATCTGCGTCATCATGGTGGTTGGCAATGTCGCAGGCATCGCAATTTCCGTCAGAATCACCGACGCAACCAATGAGTATGCAGTAATTACCGCCACTACTGCGTGATTAACAACAGGTCCACCATCATCATCACAGTCATCAGCATCAGCGTCAGCATCAGCATCGACAGCATCAGCATAGACGCCACCACCATCACCACCAGCATCATCACCACCGGCATCATCATCGGCATACCCAGCCTATCCTCATCATCATACGAAGCATCAAGAACATCACCAACTACATCATTATACATCTGAGAGCCGCCACCACCTGTCGCCTCCCCATGTCCACCCTCCTCCTCCTCTTCCTCATCGTCAGCATCATCAACATCATCATCAGCAGCATAATCATCATCATCATCATCATCATCATCATCATCATCATCACCAGCATCAGCATCAGCATCAGCATCAACATCAACAACGTTATCATCAGCATCATCATCCTCTTCATCAGACTCATCGCCATCACAACCGACATCATGGCATCAGCATCATCACCATCCCCGAACAAAACCATCATCGTCATCAACATCATCCTCATCAGCAGCATTGCCATCGGCATAATCGGCATCAGCATTAGCATCAGCATCATAATAATCAACAACATCATCATCATAATCAGCATCATAATCAGCATCATCTTCGTCAGCATCATCGTCATCATCAGCATCAACATCATCATCAGCAGCATCATTATCGTCAGCATCATCAGTAACAGCATCATTACCACCACCACCACCGAAAACATCAACATCATCCATACACATCATCATCAGCATCATCAGCATCGTCATCACGATCATCACCATCAGCATCATCATCAATATCACCATCATCATCACCAACAGCATCAGCATGATCATCAGCATCACCCTCGTCATCATCAGCACCGTCATCGTCATCGTCATCATCCATCCGTCCTCAGTCATCAACCCTCCTCCATCCCCTTCCCCTCACTATCATCATCAGCAGCATCATCATCACCGTCATAAGTGTAAGAATCATCATCAACTCACCATCATCATAAGAACGGTCATCATCGTCGCCGTCGTTATCGTTATCGTTCATGAGCCGCAGCAGCATCATAAGAATCAGCATCAATAACAGTAGCATCATCATCGTCAACAACAGCATCATCATCGTCAACAGCATCAACATCACCATCATCCACCTCGCTCCTCCTCAACCCTCCCTCCCTCCCTTCCTCCTCCTCCTCCTCATCCTTCTCATCCGACCTTCTTCCCTCCGCCTCATCATCCGTCATCCGCCATGCACCCTCATCATCATCTTCATCCTCCTCGTCCTCCCCTCCTTCCCTCCCTCCACCCCACTTTCCTCCTCCTCCTCCTCCTCCTCCTCCTCCCCCGCCCGTATCTTCCTTTCGCATGGCAGAAAGCGGGGCACGGCTAGCCGACTCTTCCCGGATATGCTATCGAACAACTGGGTCGCCAAAGCTAATTGCCCACTCATAGTCGATCATCCCCCTCCCTTGTCCTCATCCGCATCCTCCTCCCTCTTCATCATCTGGTCTCCTTCCCTCCTGCTTCTCCTCCTCCTCCATTCCCTCCCCCTCCTCGTCCTTGCCTCCCTACTCCTCCTGTCTCTCCTCCCTCCACGTCCTCCTCCTCCTCCTCCTCCTCCTCCTCCTCCTCCTACTCCTGCTCCTGCTCCTCCTCCTCCTCCTCCTCCTCTCCTCCTCCTCCTCCTCCTCCTCCATCCTATTCTCTCCTCCTCTCCTCCTCCTCTCCTCCTCCTCCTCCTCCTCCTCCTCTTCCTCCTCCTCCTCCTCCTCCTCCTTCTAGCCCTTCCCGTTTGAACCCGACCCCAGGGAAGCAGCGAGGGTCCCCTCGATGAGCTTCGTTGGCCCGCCAGGGGCGGCGTGGGGGCTGCTGGCTCCGCGCGGCTGGCCACGACGCAGGCTCGGTCCGGGCAGGGCGACGGGCGCGCCGCGGCTGCCAGCAGAGAGGAGGAGGAGGAGGAGGAGGAGGAGGAGGAGGAGGAGGAGGAGGAGGAGGAGGAGGAGGTGGAGGAGGAGGAGGAGGAGGAGGAGGGAGGAGGAGGAGGAGGAGGAGGAGGAGGAGGAGGAGGAGGAGGGGAGAGGAGGATGTGTTGTCACGTCCGTTGGGGGACACGAAGAAGGAACAGGAGGAGGAGGAAAAGGAGGAGGAGGAGCAGGAGGAGGAGGAGGAGGAGTGTCGACCCAAGACGTATCAACGATGTTGCAGTAAGCCCTCCCTCGAAGCTCCCTACATTGGTGTGCCTACAGACATGCACTGTCCTTGCGGGAAGTGGCCACTCCCAGATTCCAGAAAGGGGGGGGCCCCACAAAGAACAAAAATGCAACAACATGACAACCGAGGGAGCGATACCCAACGAACAGCTGCTCAGCCACCGCGGAGGGGAATGCTCTTCCCCCCCCCCCCCAGCACACGAAACTCTCTACTTTCCGCGCGCTGAAGGAGGGGGCCCTCCGTGATGGTTCGTATCCTGGATCTTTCTGTCGACCCGGTTCCGCAGCATGAATGTAGCCCACCGGAGGCCGATCGGCGCAGTAGCGCCGCCGTCTTGAAGCTCTCGTTGAGCTCTAGCTGATGGAATGGGCATCGACCCTCCAGGGGGCGAAGAAAACAGCACAATGAAAATAGTAAGGGAAGAGTCTGCTTACGGGGACACCCCCCATGCATTCCAGTCTCTCTCTTTCCCGCGCGCTGAAAAGGAAGATGCCCAACCCCTGGTACTCGAGTCCCTGCTCGGCACGTGGCAATGCCCAGAGGCAAAACGAACCGAATCTATTGTAGTCGCCACGTGGCATCGCAGGGCGGAGGATGACATACACTTCTACATACTACACTCGGCAGCGCAGCGGCCAACGCGGCAACGCAGCAACTCTACTCTCTCGTCATGCGGCAACGCCCGAGGGGCGGAACAATTAGCACGCCATTACATTCACCAAGTATCCACGCAGCACGCCGTAAAAAAACAGTACGTTCGATCCGAACGAAGCGGGAAAATGCATTCCACTCGACTAGTCACGTGGTGACGCCTGGGGGGTCAACAAATATGCTTCGATTGCACCCGCCAAGTGGCAACGCAAGAGGGCGTCAAAAACCCTCTTCTACTTTACTCGTCACAGGGCAACGCCAGGGAACGGGAGAGACAAGCCATGTCACTCCACTCGGCACGTGGCAACGCCCGGGTGGCGCAACAATGCACTTCTATGATACTCACCACGTGGCAACGCAGCGGGACGGAAAACATACGATTTCACTCTACTCGTCACGCCGCAACGCCTAGAGGGCGAAACAAACACTATTCCATTGCACTCGCCAAGAGGCAACGCAGCGTGGCGGACAACAAAAACATCGATTCGAACTTGCTCGTCAAGTGGCCACGACTAGGGAGCAAACAAAGACCATGCCACTCTACTCGGCACGTGGCAACGCCTGGATGGCGAAACAAATCCATTACATCCCAGTCGCCACGTGGCATCGCGGCGCCGCGGAAGACATACATTTACATGGAACTCGCCAACGCAGCGGGCCAGAAAAAAAGTCTGCTCTACTCGTCACGCCGCAACGCCCCGGGGGGGGGGGGCAATCAATCCTTTCCTTAGGTCGGGCATGTCCTCCTACAGGCGGACGTTAGAAGACAAATAAAAAAGCAGGTAAACAATGCTCTTGAAAAGTGAAAAATAGTCGAAAGATCACCCCCCCCGACTAGTTTGGCTTGACTATTCTCGAATACGCCTCCTGTAGAGGGACATGCCCGATTTAACCATTTCTGGACAAGAACGGGAAGCGCCGCTTTTTGGTCGCAGGGCTCGTCGGGCAGGTGTGGAGGACAGCGTGAAGGACATGGGCCGTGCAGGGATCTTGGGGCTCTTTGGACACGCGTCCTGGAGCGCATGACGGACTGCATGGGCCGTGTACGGCATGTTCGTGTAGTGTAGACCCCAGCGCTGGTTCCTGACACCGCCGGAAGCGTTCAACGTTGAATGACCGGTAGTTTACCAAAACGTCGGATCGTTCAATATCGATCGATTCTGGGTCGCCCGCGGCGTTCATCCTTGAACGCCGCCGGCGGGGTCGCCAGCGGTCGACACAACGCGAACCTACCGTAGGGGCTTTTTGGAGGCGTCTTCAGAGCCCTTTGGGAGCCTCTTGCGGGGGCTCCTGGGGGCCTCCGCGCGTTTCTTGCGGGCCTTTGAGGGGTCGCTCGAGTCGGGGATCCACTG